TCATTAATCCAGAACGGTGGTGTGGGAGAGGTCGACTGTGCAATATTTTACTGAAGGGGAACCTGAGGCTCAAGCATACTGAGAAGGATTTTGAAGAACACAAAGGTGATAATGGCAAAACTAGCTGCTCTGTATTGTAATATAATTGCTCAAGTACACACAGATGACTTGGAGTGTTGACGTCTCATCTGATTTCCCTTGGTATGCAGAATGATGCTCAATGCTCAATGGAGAAAGTTTGGAATAAATTGGTATATGGATAAATGAATGCATATTCTTTTTTAATTTTTTGTGGAAAATAGATCTAAAGAAATGATGAACATTTGGGACAATAAATATGGTTTGAGAGAAATATAAAACATTAAATGTTTCATCAGGGAAATAAAAGCCCATTTTACTTTAATTATCTACATACATGAGAATATATGATCCTTTTACGACAACTGCAGAGGAAAATCTTGCTGTGATAAACATGGTAGATTTTAAATAAAATGCAATTTAGTCTGATTGGTGAAGGGCTGACAAGATGGGGATAGAAGTAGGAAAAGCATGAGGAACCCCACGCTGCAGAGTGCTATGAGCAAGAGAGGAGGTGTTTTCTGAGAACGCTGAATTTGTCAGTTTGGTTTGAGCAGAGTATGTAGAATAGAGAGAACTGAGGACCACAAAGTAGAGTGCAGAGAGCCAGTCAGGAGATTATAATTGCCACAGTGGGGCCCAGGGGTCTCTAGGGTATTGTGTGATAAACAAACCAACTCCTCTCCCCTGCTGTAAAGAAAATTACACAGTGCCATGAGGTCAGGTTGGTGTGCCCAGCCTTGGGGCCAGGAGATCATTTGATTGATACACCATCTCCTTCCCATCTGAGTTGCTTAGAGGTGCAGTGGGAGGGATGCTCCTCCTCCTGGGTTATGGTTCTCAGCAGTCTCTCCTCTGAGAGAGAGAAATACATTTTTCCACACCTTCTCCTGGACCAGACCTCTACCCCAGGACTTCCACTCCACAGATGAAATCAGGACTGAAAGTAGCAAGACTCTCTCAGATAATTCCCAATGCCACTAGTCTCAAGAAGGATTGTCATCTAGCTTGGTGCCAGTAGAACTACAAGAGGTGACTACTGTGCTATTCTTTCCTGAAGCTCTTGAGTAAGTACTGGCTTGGCAGGATGTTCTGTCTTCTCAGGCAGAATCCACAGAACAAGGAATGTTCGCTTAGGTATTAGTGCCGGGGTCTGTTGTGTTGGGTCCCTAGATTGAATATGGAAGTGTTAAATTTATACCAGAAATTATCTGGTTCATTCTGTTTTCTCTTAACACCAATTCACCCACCCAACTATGTACAGTATGTCACCAAATAATCTCACCTGTGCCCTAGAGATACTGAAAAATAGAGACAAGGAGTCATGAAGAAACATTTATAGAAACATAACATAATTATAGTTTTACTACTATGATATATCTCATAAATATAAAAGGAAGGAGTCCCTTTGGGTCGGTCACTCTTTCTTGGGGATTATGGAATTCAGGTAAGCTTGGTACCATAGTAGTTTTCCTCAGTATTTGGAGCACTGCCAAGGTTTCGAGACTTCCATTTATTCTCGGTGCTCCCACAAGGGTTCGTTCTCACTGCACACACTGGAACTCTCCCTGTGAAGACTCAGTGTCACCCAACCCCTGAGCCACATGACCAGGGTCACACTCTACCTGGGTTAAGGTACACTGGACTTGAAAGAGTGTGTGAGGCTTAGGAAGCCCAACATTGGGTTGATGTGAGGAATAATCTGCACCTGTTATGGAAAGAAGAACAGTCCCCAGGGGAGTTTGCTTGTTTCTTTGTTTTGAGGCAAGGTCTCAACATGTAGTTCAGCCTGGCGTTGAACCCACGAGGGAGCCCCCAGGCTGGCCTCAAACTCATGGCAATTCTCCTGCCTCAGCCTCCCTAGTGCTGGGATTATAGGTGTGGGCCCCAACACCCAGTCCCAAGGGAGTTTGTAACAAGATTTTTCATGATAACCAGTTATGGATTTGAGGGAGTCCTCAGAAAGAATCCCACGGAAGAGTGAAGGAAAAGGATGAGGGATTGAGAAAGTGTCCTGCCTGCAGCACCTGGCTCCTGTGGGGGAGACTGGTGACCAGTGAGTGAAGTGAGCTAGGCTCAAAACAGAGTCATTGGTTTTGGTCTAGTGAGTTCCATGCGACTCTTCAGATGGACTCCAGTGTTATGCTTTTGGAGATCATCCCATTGTTAATTGAGCTTTGGGGTTTAGGGAGGAGAACACACATAAAATGAGATGATTAGCAAGGGAGTAAGCACATGTCAAGTTCTCAGGCAAAAAAGAGTCCCATTGGTGAGATATTGGGAAAGTTAGACCTTCAAGGTACACAGTAGTGGGGCCCTCGACTTGCATACATAATGTCATAAAAAGGACTATATCTCAGTGAAGGAAGACGACATCCCCATCTCACTTTCTATTTAGGACTGAGGTCCTGAGATGCTTCACTCCTTCTTCAGGACCTGCCAAGCACTGGTTCAGGACAGCACCACAGGCATCAAGGCCTTAGTCTTTTCTGTGCCAGTTGTTGTGTTTATGCTAAAGCTGTGAACAAGATAGATGCAACTCTGTCCTCTGTAAACTCACTGTGGCCGGACAGAAGAGTAGAAAGCTCAGAAATGAACATCAGACATGGTAAATTTATATGTGAAGGCACAATACCCCACAGGACTATAGAGAAGAAGGCTGGAACTTAGACCAGAAGAATCTAAGATTTTCTCTGAAAGGAGAGTTTCTTCATCTCACTACTGTTTACAGATTTGGACTGTGTGTGTGTGTGTGTGTGTGTGTGTGCGTGTGTGTAATGCCATATTTTGTGCATTTTAATAATAGGAACAAGAGAACTATGTGTCCCAGCACACTCCAGAAATGTATGGAGGCATTGTCCAATTTTCTCTGAGGAGGAACATCACTTCTGATTGAGAACTGCTGTCATATGTAAGTGATACATTAAGTATGGTTAAAGAAAGTTAAGGTATACAGGCTGATGACCAGTTTTCTGGTTTGGTAAACTACGTAATAGTGCTGCCCTTGGCTAAGATGAGACCTATAGTAGGATAAGCAGTTCTTTAGGGGGAGAGGATGAGTTTTACATTAAAGATACTGAGATTGAGGTGTCCAGGGGATGTCCGGGTGGAGATGAGCAGCAAGATGATATATAACAGGAAGGGACTGCTATCATTAAAGTACAGAGAGTCAAGCTGATGAGGATATGATTGTCATGTAGTCAATAACTTATAACTGCCAGCTCACAAGAGGAAGGGTGTGATGTGCCACAGGGACCATATGGTGAAGCCTCAGGCCATGTTAGAAATCGAAGAAATGAAGGAAAATGTAAACAAGAGCCTTGAGCATTGTTTGTACAGAAAGGAAGACATTCTATATAGCTGAGAATTTACCACTTTGAATAATTTCAGCAAGCTCTGTGATACAGTCTGTCTCTGGTGGTCTGATACTTGGTAATAGGGTGATAGGAGGGGGCAGGGTTTGGCCCAGAGTGTGAGGGCCTGCTGGGAAGCCAAACAATTGACTGAGTGGTGTGTGAACTGTGTACTGGTTAACTCACCAGTAAATGAAACATGTGCAATGAGGAAACTGCCTAACTATTCACAGGACATGCTGTCACCAAGAGGGACAGTTCCTCCACAGTTAGCCAGGCTACCAAGTGTCAATGCACCGAAATACACACAGTGAAAGGTCATTATCCATACAGATGGAGTATAGCAGTCTGAAGTTCAGAACAGAAACTGCAGGCAAATATCTAGTTATGTGCACCAGGCACAGGTCTGGGGTGTGGGAAACATTCATTTATTCATTCAACAATTCAACAATTATTGAAAGATTGAACTTTTTAATCCCCCAGGCACTGACTAAACCAGGAGGTGGGATACAATGGGGACAAAACCAGATACTGCTGCATAGTAAAAAGTAGTGGTGCAGGAGGATAACTGTTATAAGGCATAAATACCCTTGCTTCTCTGCGGAGAAAAGATAAGAAACTCAGTGTAGAAAAGTGGTCACTGAATTTGGAAAGAAGGAGGGTGGCGTTGGACACGGCAAGACTAGATGTGATTGTTGAGCAGGTAATGCGTGTGCTGGAACAACTCTCTGCATCCCTGTGATTTTTCCGTGCAGGTGGCATGGGCAGTCAGTGACAGAGTTAACCACTGGACCTGCTAGGTACTCAAAGGCTGCTGTCACCTGTATACTGGTCATGTAAAACACTGTGATATAAAAGGTGAGCCCCGTGTGGATGCATACTCTGTTGCTACCATTCACATTTATTCTCTCTTTCACATGAGGGTCACTGAAGGCATCTAAATGGCTTCCTGAAATCAGTGATATAGCACTGATGCAGGAAAGATCATCTTCCAGCTCTGAATACTTAACACAACAGAAATGAGCTGGAACCTGGTGATGAGCTGGATTCCAGGACTGCAATATGGAACATATTCACAGAGCACCCAGATAGCCAACTTGTGATCTCAGCCTGCTTAGTCCTGGGCTTTAATCTGCTGAAACACTAGTTAGTAGACAAGGAGGAGGAGCAAAGAGAGCAAGAGAGAATTACAATTCTACATGTTACACCTCAGATTTAAAAGTCAGCTCCCACATTACTGGATTAGGTCATAATCTCAATGCTGTGAGTAAGACAGCATATCAGACCTATACTCCAACAAAGCATCAGATGTACAGTGTGAGTCGGCATGCTAAAATTCAGGAAAAAATACCCAGTAGGGCAGGTGTGCAAAACATTACTCCCTCATAATCCAGTGATATGCAGCCTAAAGTGTACGGATAGAGCCTGGATACTCCTGAGCTGAACTGCACAAATGAAAATAAAGTGCAGGATTTTGGAAAATTTTAAATACTGTGAAACAAGGGTTTACTCCATTTTCTTCATCAGAGGCACTGAAATAGCCTGTACTATTTGTCCCGGTGATAGGCTATGAGAAGTTTCAATACCAGTTTGGGATGTGGCTTCATTTTGGTGGGCTTCTCCGACTGGCCTCAACTGGAACTCTTCCTCTTTGTCTTCATTTCGATTTTCTACTCCCTGACTCTCTTGGGCAACACCGCCATCATCATTCTCGCCCGACTGGACCCTCGACTGCACACACCCATGTACTTCTTCCTCTCGCACCTCTCCTTCCTGGACCTATGCTACACCACCAGCATTGTGCCCCAGCTCCTGATCCACCTTTGGGGACGTGATAGGACCATCAGCTATGGGGGATGTGTGGCCCAGCTTTACATCTTCCTTGCCCTGGTCTCCATTGAGTGTGTGCTCTTGGGAGTGATGGCCTTTGATCGCTATGCTGCTGTGTGTCGGCCACTACACTACACAACCATCATGCACCCCCAGCTTTGCCAAGCCCTGGCTATCTCCTCCTGGGTGGGAGGCTTCATAAACTCTCTGATCCAGACCAGCCTCATGATGGCCATGCCTCTCTGCAGCCACCGCCTGAACCACTTCTTCTGTGAGATGCCTGCATTCCTTAAGTTGGCCTGTGAGGACCCAGGAGGAACGGAAGCGAAGATGTTAGCGGCACGAGCCATAATCTTGGTCTTTACTGCAGCACTAATTCTAGGCTCCTATGTACGCATTGCTCAGGCTGTGCTGAAGGTCAAGTCGATGGCTGAGCGCAGAAAAGCTTTTGGAACATGTGGGTCCCACCTCCTGGTGGTTTCTCTTTTTTATGGGTCAGGTATCTACACATACCTGCAACCCATGAACAGTTACTCTGACAGCGGAGGAAAATTTGTTGCCCTTTTTTATACTATACTCAGCCCTATACTAAATCCTCTGATTTATTCACTGAGGAACAAGGATGTCAAAGGGGCTCTGTGGAAGGTTCTACGGGGAGACCGAGACTCGGGGTAGTAGAGGGAAGGAAATCAACACAGTTTTTACAGTTTTTACAGTTCATGAAATCCTTGCTTTCCTTGCAAAGGAATACATCACTAAAGAGTCACCCTCAGTAGGCCTTGGGGTTTTATTGTTTTCTTTGTTAAAAACGTAAAGCAAGATCTCTGAAAATCCTTTCTAGTAAGTGTATTTCATGAGTGTGCAGCAGGGACTAAAGGCTGATTTGAATCACCAAGCCTGGGAAGTGGATTATTGTGCCCCTGTGGAGAATGAGGCTAACTAGACACTGAGAGAAAATAATTGATTGCCAGTGTGTTGTCTGGAAGATTGCACGGTGATCAGAGCCAAATGATTCCTTTTGACAGCCACTCTCCTAATTAACCGTGACCCTTGACTTGCTCCCAAATGTTAGGGTTTGTAGGTTGCTTAGTGATGACACTTCCATAAAACCATGAGAAGATAAGATGTCTCATAGATACGTCTTGGAGCAGATAGCATTTCACATATGAAAGCCATTTATCGCTGGAAGAAGGGGTCATTTGGCTAAAGGAACCTCGTCAAGTGCTCCAGGAATCTCGGAAATGCTTCTTGCTGTCAGGGAGGATATTTTCCATGACAGAATGGAAAGAGAGAGAAAAAGGGCACAAAAGCAATCAGTGTAGAGGAAGAAATACTGGAAATAAAAAAGAATAAATGAAGTGGAAAAGAGAGATAAAGCATGGAAGAAAGAGACAACGAGAGTGGGTACCTGGGTACTTTTGCATAGGTCAAGTCACTTCATCAAATTCGGAAGATAGTGGTTTTTGTTTTTTGGGTGTTTAAAAACTTCTACTATTACCATTTCATTCCATGTACTTAAACAATGGCCGGGCATAGTGCCGCACAGCTGTCATCCCAGCACTTGGGAGGTGGGGCAGGAGGATCGCTGTGAGTTCGAAACCACCCTGGTCTAAATAATGAGTTCCAGGTCAGTCTCAACTACTACATAGTGAGACCCTGTCTCAAAAAAAAGGTTAGGGATTTAGCTCAGTGATCCTGGTGCCTGCCTCACAAGCACAAAGGCCCAACTTCAATCCCCGGTCCCCCCCGCAAAAAAAAACATGCAGGGCATGGTGGTGCATGCCTGTAATCCCAGCACTGGCGAGGCTGAGGCAGGAGGATCACTGTGAGTTCGAGACCAGCCTGGGCTACATAGCGAATTCCAGGTCAGTCTCAACTACATAGTGAGACCCTGTCTCAAAAAACCAAAAAAAAACAAAACAAAACAATAGCTTCATTTTTTTTGATGCAGCTATCTTTGTCAAAAGCATTTTACAGTCTATAAATATCAAAAGTGAATCACCTTTTATTCCAATAGTGATCACTGTATTCATTCAAATGAATTTTCAAAAATCTTGTTTAGAAAAGTTGTCATTAGTCCTTACAATGGAATTTAGAGTTAATTTTGTTATATGTTGTATGTTTATTCACAATGACATTGAAGTTCGGTTTATGTAATGTATCCAATTACCATAGTAAATATGGGTGAAGATTCTAACATTTCTAATGGCAACTCTTACGACATCTCCCTACGAGTTCTCTTTTCCTCAGAGTGAATCTTTAATGGAAAAGATACAAGTTGCACAAAAAAACAAAGAAGAAATAAAATGTGAGATTAATATACCTCACAAGGATTCGACACTCTTCCCTGTTATTTATGGTTGGGTCAGAAGTCGTATTTCTTCCATTGAGGAATTCTATATAACCTACAATAACAGTTGCCAATTTTTAATCCTAAAAGGGATTAAAAACTCAAGCACTGCATTGTATAAAATGAAACATTATTACACTTCATTCTTTCAACATTAAACATAGCTACATTCCCTCTTGCCATCAGGTTTACTTATGAAGAGACGTAAAGTTTAACCATTGTTTGTGTGATTTTCTTTTAACTAATTTTACTGGTCAATTTTAGGTATACAATATAATGACATTCATCATTGGAAATTTGTACCTTTACACAATATATCCTGATTCTTATTTTTGCCCATTCCTCTGCCCTTCCTTAATCACTCCACCCCTCCCTGTTTACAAAGACTATTTTTCCATTTTTCACTTTCTCGTATGAATTCCAATCCTTCTTTCCTTTCCCCAAATCTTCATGCTTCCCCATCGCCTTTGGACCTGTTCTTCCTATTTTTCATTGTCTGTTATGCCTTGTGATCCTTATTTACACTTTCAGTTTCTCACACCAGAGAAACTATCCAGTATTTACATGTCTGGCCTATTTATTTCACTTAAGATTATCGCCTCAATGTGCATACATTTAGCTATAAACATCTCCAATTTCTCATTCCTTATGTCTGAGTAGTACTCTATTTAATAAAAAACTACATTTTCTTTATCCAGTCCCCAGTTGATTGGCATTGGGCTGTTTCCAAGTTTTAGCTATTACAAACGGTGCTTCTATGAACATGGGTGCACATATATCACTGTGGTATGATTCTTTTAATTCTTTTGGGAAGATACTCAACAGGCGGATAGCTAGGTCAAATGAGCCCTCTCATCCTAGTTCTTTGAGGTATCTCCATACTGTATTCCACAGTGGTTGCACCAGTCTACGCTCCCAACAACAGTGGAGAGGGTTTCCTTTTTCCCCACAGCCTCACCAGCATTTCTTATTGGTTGATTTCATGATAGCAGCCATTCCTTCTGAGATGAGGTGGAATCTCAGAGTTCTTTTCATTTACATCTCTTCAATGACCAGTGATGTTGAACTTTGTCATATCTTTACTTGCTATTTCTCCTTCTTTCTTGGGGAAATGTCTATTCATTTCAGATGCCCATTTTTGGATTGGGTTTTTTAATTTGGGAGGTCTGATTTTTTTAGTTCTTTATATATTCTAGACAACCCTTGTCTGAGGAACAGCTCAGACAAATTGTTTCCCACACTGTGGGTTGTCCGTCCCAGCTGTTAGTGGTTTCTCATGCTGTGCAGAAGTTCTTTAATAAGAAGAGACCCCAGCTGTTGATTTGATGTGCTAGTTCATATGTGACTGAGGTTTTGCTTATGAAATCTTTTCCTACACCAGTGTCTCCAAGAGTCCTACCTAGCCTCTTTTCCAGCCAGTTTAGAGTTTGTGTTTTAATACTTAGACCTTTAATCCATTTTGATTTTAGCTTAGAGCATGGTGAGAGATATAGGTCTCATTCTAATCTTTTGCAAGTTGAACCCAGTTTTTGCAACACCATTTATTAAAGAGGCTATCTTTCCTCCAGTGAGGGTGTTTGGCTCCTTTGTCAAAGATGCGGTGGCTGAGTGTGGCTGGAGTTTTTTCTGTATCTTCTAATCTGTTCCACTGATCCTCATTTGTAAAAATTTTTTTGAATGCTGGTTTGGTATTCATGAAGTTCTTCAGCTGCTCTTTGTCATGGAAGTATCTTATTAATCTGTCAATTTTGAAATTTCACTTTGTACAATACATGAATCTTAGCTGGACATTGTTTCCCTTTAAGACTTGAAATAATTTGCTCCAGTCTCTTCTTGCCTTGAGTGTGTTGAGGAGTCTGCTGTGATTCTGATGGGCTTTCCTTTGTATGAGATTTGTTTCTTTTCTCTAACTGCTTGTAGAATGTTGTTCCTCTGTTGGATTTCTGGAATCTTAACTATTATATGCCTCTGTGTAGATTTTTTTATCATGGCTAGTTGCAGTCCTGTATGCCTCACTTATCTGTATGTCAAGTTCTTTTCCTCTGCTTGGGAAGATTTCTGCCATAACTTCTGCAAATAGTTTTTTTTTAACGTTGTTTGCACTCTCTCCTGTTTCTTCACTGAATCCAGTCATTCTCATGTTGTTCTTTGCATCATCCAGCAACTACTGAATTGATTTCTCATGGTCCCTTACTATTTTTAAGAAAGTTTTCTTTTCCTGGTCACTAATTGCAATCCTGTCTTCTATATCTGCTATTCTGTCCTCACATTGTCTCGTTCTGAGGAGTAAGCTATCAATGGAATTTTTAATCTCCTGTTTGCATCTGTTTTATGGATTCCCCTTGTTTCCTATGCTGGGATTCCACCATGTATCTCAGCAGCTCTATTTTTTTTTAATCTGTGTTTGCTATAGAGTTATAAATCATGTTTTATACTGTGGGCACAATCTCTGCTGTTATCTGAGAAATTGTTTCTGATTTCATTTTTTCAGGTTCTCTTTCATCGCCTGTTCAGGGAGTCGAGGCAGTTGAATATCAAACTGTTCCATCTTGTTGCACTTTGGGGTTGCCTTAGGTGATGTGGAAGTCTGGGTCTGAGACTTATTTATGTATCTTCTCATTTCAAAAGATGCAGCCTACTCTACCTTTGTTGAAGTGACGTTTTGCTCACCCAGCAGTCTTCAATTCTCAGCAAGCCACCGAGCAGCCTTTTCTCTGCTGCTCACCAGTACACCAATTCCTTGGTTCAAAAAGGTGGCCCTCTGGACCCCTGAGATGACCTGTTCTCTGGATAGGCTTCTGGCTGGGGCCTGTGCACACATGGGTTGATATCTAGGCATGCTCCTGGGTGGGCCCCTGTGTGGCTGTTGTCTGGCAGAGCCTTTGCCCGGGGGCTGTGCACTGAGTCACTGGTATCTGAGCAGGCTTTTCTCTGGGGTCTGCACACACTTACCATTGGTATCTGGGTGGACCTCTGGCTGTTGCTTCCTCACCTGGATAACTCCTTTCCAGGGGAGCCACTGGCTGTGGCCTATTGGCCCAAGCTGTTGGTGTATGGGAAGTGCCCCTGCCTGGGATCTGTGCACACCTGTTCAGCTCTGATCCATGCAAGCTTCTTGCTGGGATCTGGCCACAATTACTGATGGAATCTGGGTGGGGCTCTGACGGCTGCTTATGCACCTGTGCAGCCCTTTTCCAGGTCGTCCACACAGGCTTCTCCATGAGATCTGCACACATACCGATTTTTTGCGACTTTCTTCATACTACCCAGACATTAAATGGAGATCCACAATTTAAATCTAACCTGTCTCATTCCAAACCATACC